GCTTAGAGACGATGTTTAAATTTCAGAGGAGGAGTACGAGCCTCTCGAACTATCTGGTGTCGAGGAGCGTGCTGACAGACAAAGAAGAGTGACCTGCGACCTTCTCTCTTTCAAAGGGGTCGTTGGGGATAGTGCTTGCGCTGCTAACTGCCTCAGCATGGGCAAAGCTGGAGGTCGCTGCAACAACGGAATCTGCGTTTGTCGCAAGTACGTGATTTCGGTTCCCTCGAAGTATTTCGACTTTCACCAATATTCAGCTTCGATACGAAGAAATATGAATGTGGTAAAATTGTCGGAGTATTCGTAAAATTAAATGACCCGTGTGATTTTCCTTGTTCCAGGACCACTTTCAAGAATCTCTGGGACAAACGTTTCGGTTAAATACACTTCTGCCAAATTCCAGTAACAGGAGTTTTCTATTCGACGAGAGATACGCGAAAAGAACGCAATTATTGTTAAGAAATTGACAAATATTAGAAACAATACTTTTGGTATTATACTAAAGTTAATCTCTCCTTATTGAAAATTTTGCGAACCTCGACTTGCTAAAACTTTTTTTAGCTCTAATATTGACTTTAGATATAGTATTGTTTAGAGTATTCAGAACCAATAAAATCTTCAAAATAGAAAAGATACAAGCATCTAGATGGTTCATTCTACCATATCTTTCAAAGAAGCAGGTGGATGAATTTTCTGAATGTACAAATAAATTTTCAAAATATACAATGAAAGTTTGTTCAGATTCTATTTATTATTATTAAAATGTAATATTTTATATTAACTCTTAAGTAGCAATATAAGTTGGTAATATAGGTGACTAATAATTTGCATGCTGAGATTTAGAATATCTTACATTTACTATGATAAAGTCAAGTAAAGTTAAAAAACTTCAAAATTATGTAATTTATCTTCAAATTAATATGTCTGTCCTCCACTCTCCCTGAAATAGTGCCAGCTGATTGAACTTAATGCTGTTAAGTACATATATGATCACTCAGAATACAACTGTTTAACAAAAATTTATCAGAATCTCTTTCGTCATAATACTTCTATCGCGACATTTTTCTCTTTTGTTAAAAATAAAAAAAAAAGAAAACACATTTTCGACAATCTTACATCATCCGATAATGATGATCCGATGTCGATAACAATTATTTCGAGTTTCGTAGAACAAAACGTGCACCGATTAATCAGTCACGCCGTTCTTAATCGCATCGAAATAAAGCATACGTGCTAACAATCACGAGACTAATTGCCATGCAAAATACCAATGCATTAAATACCAATAATGAATGATCACTTA